ATTATCACTCTCAGCTCTCATCCTTTCATTTTCTGTTGTCAGTGTACTTTTAGATATGAGCAATGGTATATGAAATTTAATTTGAAAATTTAATTATAGATCTAATTTATTATAATTATCAAATTAATTATAAATTTTTATATTAAATAGAACTCCTATTAGTTTAATAATTATAATTAATTAAGTCCTAAATTATATCCAAATAATGTTATTTTTAGTAATTAGTTTCATGTTATTCAAATACTTAATGTTTATTATAAATTTGACAAAATATTATTTTAAGCTCTTCAATCCACATTTTGTTTCACATGTCTCGTTACACACGTATACTTTTAGTCAAAATATAGTAATTTTTTTTGAACAAATGTAAAATAAATAATCATAATTGAAGGGTAATGTAAAAATTATTTTTAGTAATTAGTTTCATGTTATTCAAATAATTAATGTTTATTATAAATTTGACAAAATATTATTTTATGCTCTTCGATCCACATTTTTGTTTTACATTGTCTCGCTACACGTATACTTGTAAAACTTGGGAAAACTTGAACTTTTTATGAAAAATGGCAAAATGGTAATTTGTCATTTTCAGTACGGGTTGAAAATATGAATTTTTCTAAAAATCGGATGAGTAAATAGATCTCACCGTTGGATTCGCCTCGCGAAATCTAACTACCATATCAATTTTCATCGAATTTTGAGATAGTCAAATTTTTCATGCTTTTTTAAGCCATTGGTGTATTGGGTGACCCCAAAAAACGACCCCGGAAATAAAATTTTGAAAATTTTATCATATTTCAAAGAAAGTTCATATAAAAATATTTTAAACATAAATCAGGACGAAATTTAATCGTTTCGGGATAAAAACGGACTCAGAAATAGGGGAATGTGTGGCTCTTTGTGAACTAAGCACTTAAAGTGTATAAATAGGGAAGAAAATCAAATTTTCTCTCCATTGTTCAACCTTCTTCACATGAGAAAAGAGGAGAGAAATTTTACCTTCTCTTACGATCTACACCTCTACGTCGCTCCAATCGACTCAAGCCAAGAGTTAAAGTTAATATCCTCGTCGAGGGCTACACCTATGTGCCAATAAGGAAGGATTTCACCAAAGATCCAAAAGTAATTTTGGGGGGAATTCAAGGTTAAGGCTTCTTGGGAGTTCTTGAAGGCTTTCGACTTCAATTTTTTACGTTCCAAGAGTTAGGATTTCATCCTAACTGGATTTATTTTCAACCAAAGAGTGTGATATGGAATGGGTAGGTCATTAGACAATTTTAACACCCGCCTATTGTGATTAATTAGATGAAATGGATAGAAATCAATTCTCGTATGAATTGATAATTAGAAATTGCTAGCTTGTAATTTCTTGAAAAATGATGTTATGTGGGCATGTTATGTGTTTATATTGTGCTTATTGAGTTAAGTGTGTTATTGGCATAGATTATGTATGACATGTTTGGGAAGAATTGTTGTTAAATGTGAATATTGGTATATGTTTATGATATATTGGCATTGTGATGACTTTATGGAAGTTATATGTTTTGGATATAACTTGCCATGAAAATGTTGAACTGTGGTTAAATTAGTCCATATGACATTCATTACATATGTGATATGACATTACTATTGCAATTGCTTATTACATTGCATATACACGGAGGCATCACATGGGCATGAGTGTGGGTGTGTGTGCATGTGTGTTGGGTCAATCACCATCCCTGGTGGCTGACAAGTTGACTCGGTATAATTAGACCAAGGTCCAACAGAGTCGCGTGGGTTGCATGAAAAAGAAACTTGTGTCGGGTATAGCAAGCAAAGCTAGACTCTCCCTCGGGTGCAAGACCCATTACTGGTTTATACACTTCCGTCGATACAAGTCCAAAAAAAGTGTATCAGTGTGCAGAATTGGAGATAAGACACCAAAACTTCACTACCCAACATAAACACATGATTTTGTTTTATAAAAAGGCCATTGAATGTGAAACATCAATGACAATGGCTTGGAATGCCCAATTTTATACTTATGGCATTGCATGGGTGATGGGAACCGGTGAGGGCTCAGGTTGAGTTGCATGAATGAATATTATCTCATTTCATGGCATGACATAACAAATTTCAACATTTATTTGCATATTCTTGATTGGAATTGTTGTGGATGATTGATTGTTGAATGTGAATATTTCATATGCATTTAGTTTGGGGAGTGACCTCTTTAGGAGATATCCTATTAAGCGTGGCTCACCCTTTATGAAAAAATATTTCAGGTGCGGGATTCACACTGGTGGATGACTCATATCTCGAGCCTCAAGGTTGACGAAAAGCTGAAATGTGGCTTTCTTTTGCGATATTGTAAAACTTTTGTTAAAAACTTAGTTTTGGCATATTTATATGGAATGATTGTAATAGAATCTGTATGGACCATGTATAATGTATAAAACTTCATTTTACATGTGTTGTGATGATATGGAATAGATTGGAATTGAAAAAGGACGGAATCGTAGGAAAACAGACAAAACTTTTCGGAAGAAATTTTTCAGTGGACAAAACCTTTCGGAAGAAGTTTTTCAGTTGGCAAAACCTTTCGGAAGGTCTTCTGGAAGAAATTTTCCAGAAGGCAAAACCTTCCGGTAAGTTTTCCTAAAATCTGAAATTTTTGAAATGTTTTTGTCATGCTTTTGGGTTTTGAGTCCTTTTATATAAATGATGTAAATGGACAATGACAGAGTGTATATTGTGGTACGTTAGGCCTTAGATGGGTCATATAATTGAAACGTACACATGTTATGCGTTTGGGAGTTTCCGGTACAAGGGAAACTCTGCCAAAATTTTTTATTGTTGTGTCGTGGTGTAGGGTTATGCAGTATTCACAGGTATTTTTGCGGGTTGATGGGTGATCAACGGGTTGACAAATGACTCTCAATTTTAGGGGCCTTACAATACTTTCAGTAAAAAATATAGTAATATTTTTTGGAACAATGTAAAATAAATAATCATAATTGAAGGGTAATATAAAAAAAGGTTAATTGTTTTTCACCGTCCTGTAGTTTCGGCTAAAAACAACTTATCTACTTGGCATTTAAAATAATGCATATTACCCCTCTCTAGTTATATATGAGTGAAGTAACTGACCCGTTAATGGAGTTAAAAGGTTAAAATAATACCCACGCTTTAAAGTCAAACTTTTCGTTTGATTTACTCTTAACCATAAAACTAATGGAATATGATAATAAACTAACAAATTTCAATCAAATATTTCGAGTCTTTTTTTCCTTCAAGTGAGATTTTTTTCCGAAGTCAAAAATCACTTATGTTTTTTCTTGCATGTTTTTTAATCTGGGACAAATGTCTTACCTATTTGGATATTATACCATATTTTTATAAATGATATTTTATGCACTTTGACAATATTCTTTTAGAGAAAAACAATGAAAAGAAAGCCCACAACATGTTTTGACCTTGTGGAATACATTCTCCATTAATTTAGATGATAAAAATAAAAATTTTACTTTGATACATAATTACGAGATAATGTGTATAATTTTAAATGTCAAGTAGGTAAAATGTTTCTAGCCGAAACCACATGTTGGTAAAAATCAATTAACCCTATAAAAAAATAAAATAGTTTTATGCTCTGTTTAGTACGATGGAAAAATGAGAGGATGGAAAGTTTGGAGGATAGAAAATTGAAAGGATAAATAAAACATCATGTTTTGTAAGAAAGGAAAGTAGGAATGATAGAAAAGTGGATGGATTAACTTTTTCTCTAACTCACCAAAATCAATTCCTCCAAAATTGGAAGGAAAGTGAATGTAAAACTAATTATTTGTGTTGAGATGTATCTTATTTGTTTATATATCTAATGTATACATTAATTTCATATAAAAATATAATGATAAAATATGTATATCTATTTTTAAAAAATTAAAAAATTAAAAAAAATTTAAATTAAAAAATTTATTTTTTCCATCTTAACTAAGGGTGAAAATTTTCGATTCAACACGATGACACGACTCGAACTCGATACAAAAATAAACAGGTCAACTCGCAACTCGACACGACACAATTAATTAAATAAGTTAAGTTAGATTTGAATAATATTTGACACAAACTTGTAATGACTCAATAAAAATCTAACACGACACGACTTGACTCGATTGTCACCTCTAATCTTAGCCAACACAAAAAAAAAATAGACATTTTTATTTTTCATCCATCCAACCAAATACAAAAGAAGGAAAATATATCCTTCCTACTTTCCATCCTTGAAGGATAGAAAGTGTATCCCTCCTACTTTTTATTCTTCCTACTTTCCATCCTCCCTACCAAACGGAACATTAAGGACAAAGAAAGATCAAATAGTGAAAGAGGTAAAGTATAATTTTTTGCAATGTATAATTTTAAAAACTGTGTTCCTCTAGAAGAAACCAAGGCTCACAGGGGTCAGGTGGACTCGTCCACAACAAGGAGGTGGGTTTGCAACACGTACTACCCAGCTCGGCTCATTTGAACCACTAACATGACCTGAAATTCACACACACCTGTTTGCTGCTACTATAAGACTGCTGGTGCCTGTTTGAGCAATAGAAAGGGATCCAGGGCTACAAGTTCACAAACACTGGCATTTATCGGACGGAAACCAGTAACCATTTCGGGCATATGAATATAATTTGATTTTCATTTTCAAGGCCACGTTTTAATGTTTGTCAAGGAAACAGAGTGACTCTTAACAGAGGACATTCTCTTTCAGTATCTGGGAATATAACAATACCCCATTGGCAATATGCATTCTATTGGCACACTAACCCGTACAAAACTAATAATCAAAACTGCTATATCAAAAAATATTTTCTTCAGCTTTGATAGCTACTACCATAAAGGTTATAAAAACCTATGTTCTGCAGCATGTGGAAACCCCTGCAGTGACACCTTCATTGGTCGAACGATTTTTCTGTCGATTCTGAAACACAGTGAACAGATTGATAATGAGTGAGGCAGCTTTATGCTTGAAGGTCCTTGTTTGAATTCCACGCAGGGGCTTTTGTAACACTGTCATTTAAGATTCCAGATCCATTTTCGACACTTATGAGGGGATCAGATTCACTTTCCTTTGCCTAGAACATTTTAAAAAAGAAAAAAGGATTAGTAAATCAATTTTTATGCAGAATTAATCAAAGCTTCAAGAGGATCATGGCAGTGAAGACTAGATGAGCACATACTTAAATTGAGAGGGAGAGAGAGAGAGAGAGAGAGAGGATGGGCAAGGAAACAATCCTCCTTTTATTCCACTTCCCTCTGATGATTATACTAGGAAAAAGAAATTGCAAACATGGAAAAGGAGAAAAGAGAAGAATGCAAAAGTACCTGGGACAACTGTGGTAATGCTTCAATTGCCTTTTGCTGGCTCTCAAGAGTGCAACAATAAGAATAAAGTATCATGCCAACCACAGCAACCAAGATCCCTAAAATGTTTCGCCAGCTAAATGGGTCATGGAGTAGCACATAGCCAAAGCCCAAAACTAGGCATGTTTTCAGATGTCCTAGGACTTGATAGGTGACTGGAGATGTCTTTCCAATTACTAAGAAGGTACTGAAGTTTACAGAGACTGAAATTAGGCAGGATAGAACAATGAATGCCTGCAATCAAGACGACAGTGTATTTAATGGTTTATGCAATATTTCAGAGCGAGGGGAAAAGGATTTGATTCTCACCAGCACTTGAGGGGTGTATTTGAAAGCAAAAACATTCTGATTCGTCAAAAGCCAGTCTAGAAATGGGCCAGTGAAGAACAGAGTCATTGCCTGATAGGGGCTAGATTGATACAGGAGTTGGGTCGAAGATACTTTGAACTTTTTCTGGATGGTATTGGTCATCTGAGGGCAACTGATTAAGGTCTTGAACAACAATAGCTGTAAAACATCCTCACCTAAGTACCACTGCATGAATATCTGAGAGCAAAAGTGAATGGCAAGCTTTCTTTTCAGCTCAAACCTTGTCATTTTACCGGCTTTATATTAAAATTCAAGCATGTGAAAGAAGAAAGAAATACGTGATATAAAAACAAAGGCCACCACAGCCAAGGATACAATCTGGGCGACACAGGTTGTGACAACCGCAAGCAGAGATAATACAGAGCCAAGGACATTGAGCTGCAGATCAGTTACGGTTGCAATTCCAACACCCAAAAGAAGAATGCCAAGCGAAAGCTGGACATTCCTACTGCAAAATGACGATCAAGGTAGTATTATTACACAAAGCTGAAAACAATATATAAGTAAAGACACAAATACATTAATATTTGCATTTGCATTTGCACATAAAATAAACATATATTACAAAATACATATGAGCATAAAACGCAAAAGTGACTTTCTAAAAGGCACAAACAATCTAAGTTATCACTTATCAGCCGCTACAATGTCAACATCTGAGAAGGACAGATTATTGAAATGGCAGAGTTTGTATTGGACATTGACACTTCTCAAATACTCCCAGTGACGTGTAAGAACAAGGCCTAAGATTCTTGAACTTTCGCCAATACATGACAAATGATCTTGGACAACGGGTATACCTTTTTTCTTAATTAATACAACCATAGCAGTCAAGAAAAAATTAAATCAGAAGTTCATTATAATTGTTATTGATTGGAACTTCCAGCTACCTTGGTAGAAATTTTAAAATTTTTAAGCTACAATTTTAGTTTGCCTACCATAAAGCTATTTTTTGTTTTAATAAAAGTAACATTAGTGGTATTTCATATATTTTTACGTTGCCCTGTCCTCACCATTATATGGTATAAATGTAACTGTATTTCTTTGTTGTGAGCGTCTTTGCCATGCATATTTTCTACCTTTTCACAATTTATTGCAATGGCATATAAATGCTCTGCCATGCCCATGTGTCTGCTTCATTGCCCGTAAATAGATTGCTTGCAGCAAGGAGATGACAATTGAAGCTTGATTGCCAATCACCTTCATCTCCCTTACCCCATGTGCTCCTTGTTGGTAAGTAATCTAATCTAAGTTATGTGGAACATCACTAAAGAAGATAAAAACGAAGAACCTTAAACCGAATGCAGATGTTCTCTAAATCATTATATAGGTTTCTCCTAGCAATTCAAATTAATGTCCTTGGTCTTTTGTCCCCAGTAATCAAAGCAAGAAAGTACCAACTTATCCAATGAAAGGGATTAAAAGATAGACTTTGTAATGTTAATTTATTTGATGAACTTGTATAGATACAGCCCTTTACATATCAGTGAAACCTAATTTGAGTTAATCATGCTTCAACGAACAAAAACGAAACTGCCCCTAGAGTTGTGGGTGGATATTGCTTCACGTGCATAAAATTGAGAATTTTTCTTAGGACCAGAAAGCACGATTTGACCCGGTTGTGGAAATATTGAAATAAAGACTTCACCTGAATTTCTTTGTGAAGAAAATAGTCTCCAAAAGAACTGTACAGGGGATGATTGCCAGTTTTGTCATCTACAAAGCAAACTCATTAGAAGAGAAAGTACAGAAACCGCACCAATTAAAAGTTTTAGAAGCTGAAACACAAGTTTCATGGTCATGAACTTGAACATGATATCAACATGGTAAGGTTCTTGTTACACTGTATCCAGGACAGCTTTTATAAATCCTAGACAAACTGGAGACCTTAAGTTACTTACTATTCTTATGATATTACTCAAAGTACGTCTTTTCAATGGGTGTTCTTTTATTCAGAATATAAAAGCAGGGTTCAGCAGTCCATGTATGCCAAACAATATATAGCACGCATGATGCCCTTAGAACTCCAATAGTTTGCATGATTTTTTTGAGAAATCATTAGTTTCATAGTTTCAAATTTCTCTTTTAAACAACATTTTTAAAATTGCAGAAACACTTATTAGAATTTTCTGGTCTACCGGAAAATAAGGTTTGCAAAGGAAATAAATAGCAATAACAGAGCCATCCCATTGTAAATGCCGTAAAATAGTCAAGACTCACAGTAGGAAGGAACTAAAAAGTTGTACCTGGTAGAAACCAACAGAGTTAAAACCCAGGCTAAGATTCAGAAGTCCAATTGAGGCCCCGTTAAGTATCCCAAAGCCCATGACAGCTCTTGAATCAAACGGCTTGTGCTCAAACCATTTCATCCATAATGCCACATGAAGAGAACAAAACGTGACAAGAAGATGCCAACTTGTCAAAGTTGTAGCTGAGCATCAAGAATAAGTTAGAACCTAAAATTTTATGAAATATAAAGAGGTTGGAAATATTGCAATAGCATGTCTTCCAGGTCCTATGCTTTAAAAGCAACAACAATAAATAAAATCTATGGGTGGGAAATTTTCAAATTCTACAAATTTTAAAAAATGCAAAATAAAGGCTGTACTCAATGGCATAGAAATAAATCAGCCTAAATTCAATATCTCCAAACACTTAAGATACCCAGATTTATAACTAGGGCAGATAACATTCAGTACACAAAGGATTTCATCCACCAGAAAAAGGAATGTGGATGAAATATAGACATTCCTGCTTCCTGCATCCCTTGTCTTCAAGTTATTCCTCAACAACTTATTGATTGTAGGATGGGAGGTGAAAAAGCTACAAAACAGTTCTAATCACAGGTGGTTACCAATGATTTCACTTTTAGCCACCACATTTAGGCTACATTTACTTTGAAGGCTACTTTTTTACCTCTGACCTTATACTTTTTGTTGGATCCTCACTTCAAGATAAACAAAAAAGATATAGAACAATATTGCAAATATTTAATGGTCAGGCGAGGGGAAATAAGTGAAAGAGAGTTTAGAAACCAACTGCAGTTTTGATTTGTAGACCAGGTCAACAGATCCGTTTTATATTAAATAATATATCTGTGAGTATATACCGGAATCAACAGATTTTTTCACTTCACTAAAAGTATCTTTCACATTTGTACACCTAAATCAATGGCCGATGATCATACTATCTTCTAACATTAGCAATATGTATTCAATGTAAATCTTGCATGAAAAAGGGTGGTGACTAATGGATATCAAGCCTATGGCATGTAGTAGTACTCTCCTGGTTAACAATTGGCATGTCTGACACTTGTGACTTGGGAGTGTGACCCATGTGTTCACTCACTAGCCAAAGTATGATCACTTGTAAAACAATGCATATGTCTACAATATAAATATTCAACTCAACTCTACAAAACTTTGTTTCAACATTTTTGGGGACATGTATACAATGTAAATCTCGCATGAAAAAAGGTGGTGACTACTGGATATCAAGCCTATGACATGTAATACACCTCTCCCGATTAACAGTTGGTATGTTGGGCACTTGTGAGTGTGACCTATGTGTTGACTCATTAGCCAAAGTTTGACAACAATAAAAATGTGCCTTTATTATCCTAAATGAAGTACAAAAGTACCACGAGTGTAATGCTTTTTTTCTCAAGAAACTTGGTAAATGGTAAAAATTGCCATCATAATTTTACTATTTATGGTTAGCTCACAACCATATGAATACTCGTACTGACATAGAAATTGATGTTTAATATAAGAAAATCAAATGTGCTAAACATATGTGCATAGGTTTTGGATTTGCCTCTCTCTGGCAGCCCCTGTCCATTTTGAGAAATGGCAATTGTTTACCATAACGTTGCATGTGATCAATAAATGACAGCAAGGGTATGGTATTCTCTGCATATGGATCTGAGAAAGTTAATGAAATTAACCACATGCAAGAGAGTGCTTATTGGACTTATTTTTCCGACCTATGTGCCTAATGACACCAATAAGGGGTCCAGCCACTCCAAAGGGGCAAAGAGCAAATTATTTCTTACTTCTTCTCAAGAACATTCATAATGTGCCAGGTTTTCACAATAAGACACTGGATTGTGCAACAAAATAGAAAGTAAAAACGTGAGATGAAAGGCCACAAATATGTCAGTCACTTCAACAAAAAAGAAATAGAAACACAGAAAACATGGACAATTGGATTGGCACAAATCTTATGTTAAGTTGTAAGAAATAACAGAAACAACAAAGAATCACAGTAAATGAACTACAAGAAAACAAGATGAAAAATATACAATCATGAGATTAATATCAAGCATATCAGTTAAGAAATGGATGACTCACCAAAGGTAAAACCAAGAGTACTAATAAGTGCCTTGTTACAAATCACAATGGACACCGAGGAAACCACAGACAAAGACAATGCTCCAATTGTTCCCAGCTGAAACCGCTGGCCTTCACTCATCTTCACTCTCTTCTTTTGCCACTCCCTCCTTCGATCTCGATCTCAAATTCTACTCATCACAAACTACATCTCCATCAAATCAAGAATTGAATTCGCTATAAAGTCATAAAATTATGCAAATCCATACCTCATTCCGATAGTTTATCCAAGATTAACAAAATCACGATGCGAACCAGCTCAACTATTCAAAACTAAAAAAAAAAAACGAGCGAATGAATAAGATGTGATTATACAATGAAAAAGCTGCTTTAAACAAATTCAGGATTCCAGACCCTAGATCTGCTACTTTTTCATACTGAAATAGTACATATTGCATTCAAACATTTAGAGAGCAAGCGAGAGAGAGAGAGGGGGGGTCACCTATGGGAGCAACAGATCACTGAAATTCATGATGTAATCAGCTTGAGTATGAGATCGATATATATATATATATATGTATATTCGATTTTGATGAAAAAGTTTGGCGGTGGACAATAAGGTAATCATACAAGTCTATAACAAGAAAGCATAAAATATAATGGGTAACTATTTATATTCTTTTGTTTATTCGGGGTAGTAATGAAAGAATATTGAGTTTGTAGTTTCACACTCCCCGTGGCGGATCATGTGCTTATATATAAATATCTGAAAATTGAGGGGCCCTTTTCGGTTTACAAGTCTCTCATCGTTTGCTGCAAATTCACCCGACTAACGTAGCCAATAAGTGAGATCTTACCGACATTAGATCCCCTAGGCTCTATTCTTGTGGACATTAGATCTAGTCTATATAATTTTCATTCTATAGAGGCATCAATAGTAAGACCAATCAGGAAATAAGGTAATACATAGGTTAATAATATTTGTCTCTATAGTCCAAAGGAGACTTGAATGGAAAGACGAGATACCATACCAGATATCATTGTGTCCCTCCCCTAGTCAGATCTTAGCAATTAATCAAATCTCTATTGTTTCTTTAAAAAAATATATATGAGATCTTATTGAATAATTGAATTTTGGCTCAGTCGGATTCAATTGGAAAATTTTCATAAATCTTGTTTTTATAATTTATATTAAAAGTTGTTACAAACCAAAAAGTTCGATTAGAAATTTCAACTTGATCCCAAAAACCTAATTTGAGGGGATTTTTAAAAGTCTAAATGTAAATTTCAATATAGTTTATCTAATATTTACTTAATTTTGCCTCGTATTATTATAATTTATATCAGATTACAATTAGATTAAATATTAGTATATTCAAATTTAAATTAACAAATATAATGTATTGAATTTAGTTTTAGATTTAGATCGTCAATAAAAAAACAAATTCATATCTAATTAATTTGATTTGAATTGTGGGGTATTTATAAGTTGCATATAACCTCCTATAAAAAATCAATAATTTAAAAAAAGAGAAAAAAAAACATCAAACTTCACGTATCGGAGCCAAATCAAAAAGTCCAAATTAGGAACTCAAGTCAGAAGAGGAAAATCTTAGTATTAATATTTGAAAGGGACAAATTAACTAATTTTCTAAACTAATAATAAAAATTACAAGGGCAATAATGGTATTGGCAAACTGGATGGGCCCCTGCAAGGTTTTTTTTTTTTCACCTACCGAAAAAAAACCTAGATGGGCCCATTGATTCCAAAAATGAGGTGGCAAAACTTTAAGAGTGCTTGGAATAAGAACTTGTACATCACTTTATCATTTTTTCAATTAAAAAGTGTTTTTAAAAAACATGAGTTGAGAAGAAACGTGTGTCATAATATGTTTTTAATTGGTTTTAATTTTTCTTAGGAAAATACTATGGTACCAATTTTATATTTTTCCGTAATATATCAAGTTCTACAAAAGAAAACAAAACATAATAATTTTTTCCCCTAAAAATGATAAGTTTCATAAAAAATTGGGTTAACTCATAGAGCTAATAATCGAGTCAAGTTTGTCGAGCTCATTTTCTTAAATATGTCTAAAAAAAAGTTCAAATTTAGTTTGTTTAGAAAATAAGTTAAATATGAGCTAAGCTTAAAACATGTCGAGTCCGAATAACTCGTTTATTTTACATATAAATGAACTAAATTTTGTAAACTTAAACCGAGTTTTTTTAGACTCGTTTTCCAAATGAATCTAAAAAACTATTCAAACTCGAGTAACTCTATTCAATTATCAGCCCTAAGACTAAGTGAAGCCCTCCAAAAATTTGTAAACTCTACAAAAAGTGATATAAATATCCAAAAAATATGGGATCAATCATCAAAAGTCCTGTCCTCATACTCCTCTGCAAAATGAGTTTGTTGAGAGAAAACACAAACATATAGTTGAAACAGCCCTTACCCTTCTCTCAAGAGCCTCACTCCCCACAAAGTTTGGGTTTCATGCTTTTTGTACAACAACTTTTCTCATTAATCGATTGTCAAGTCCAACCACATCCAACACTTCCCCTTACCAAATTCTTATTGCTACAGTCCCTAATTACACTCAGATGAAAATCTTTGGATGTGTTTGCTATCCTTATTTGAAACCATTTAATACCAATAAACTACAGCCTCAAACCAAGCATTGTGTGTTTATAGGCTATGCTCAGGACTGCAAGGGCTACCTTTGCTTTGATCATGTTTCTGATCATATATTTATGTCATGGCATGCCATTTTTTATGAAACCATTTTTCCTTTTGCAGATTTGCAACAGTCCAACATTATATCCTCATATTCTCATTCTCCTTTAGTTCACTCACAATCCTCCATTCTTGGAACCCCATCTTCCCCATCTTAGCATTACAACTCCTTAGCAATAGCTTTTGTTTTGCAGCCTTTTCTTTATTCCTCTCCATCATCACCTACTTCTAATCTAGTTCCTGGTACTCCATCTGCACCTGTTCATCAGTTGTTTTCCCATTCTTCTCCACCTTTACCAGTAACATCCACTATTAATGGCATCCCATGACTACTAGATCTAAATCTGGTAAATACAAACCTAAAACTAAAACCTACTTAGCTCACACTTCTTCCTCTGAGCATTTTGAACTATCCACCTTTTTAGTTGCTTCTAAGTATCCAGAATAGTGTGCAGCCATGACAGAGGAGTTTCAAACTTTACAACAGTAATGTACCTAGACTTTGGTTCCACCCCCTTCTCATAAGAATATCATTGTTTGTAAGTGGGTCTTCAAACTCAAATACAATCCAAATGGTACCATATATCGTCATAAAGCTAGATCAGTAGCCAAGGGTTTTCACCAAGAATCTGGTCTGGACTATATGAGACTTTTAGTCCAATGGTGAAACATGCATTAGTTAAGCTACTACTTTCCTTGGCTATCCAATTTCAGTGGCCTCTTAGGCAACTAGATGTCAAGAATGCTTTTGTTCATGGCACTCTTAAGGAGGAAGTCTATATAACTCAACCTCCTAGTTTCATTGATTCCTCTTCACCTACCTTTGTTTATAAGTTAAACAAGTCCTTGTATGGTTTAAAACAAGCTCCTAGAGCCTGATTGGAACGTTTTACTTTTCATCTTCTCTCCTATGGTTTTCACTCTTCTTTTGCAAAATTTTCTGTCTTTGTTAGTGCTGCTAATTCCACCATTACCATACTTCTTTCATATGTTGATGACGTAATTCTCGCAGGCAATAACTCAATCTTTATCTCTTATCTTATTTATGATCTTTCATCCACTTTTGAAATGAAAGATCTAGGTCCTCTTCCCTATTTCTTGGGTATTCAAATTTCTTCTACTTCATATGGCTTATTTCTGTCTCAAACTAAATATCTTAAGGATGTTCTCCTTAAAGCTCAAATGTTTGATTATAAGTCTTGTTCCTCTCCTTGTTCTCCTCTTTGACTAAGCAAATATGAGGGTACACCATTGACAAATCTGACCATGTATCGCAGTGTAGTTGGGGCATTACAATATTTGACATCTACTAGGCCTGATATTACCTTTGCATTGAATCATGTATGACAGTTTATGCATTCTCCTACAACTAGTCATCTTATTACTGTCAAGCACATCCTTAGATATCTCAAAGGGACTCATTTGTGTGGTCTTCATTTTGTTCCTGGTTGTATCACACTGACAGCATATTTAGATTCAGATTGGGGTAGAGGATCCTAGTGATCGTAGATCAACTACTGGATTTGTTATATTTCTAGGTTATAACCCTATTTATTGGGGAACTAAGAAATATAATATTATATCTAGATCATCGTCTGAAGCTACAACCACTACTTCTGTTGAGCTTGCTTAGATGTGAATGTTTCTTCATGATCTTCATGTTTCTCTTCCTGTGATGCCTCACATTTGGTGTGATAATGTTTTTGCAATAGTTCTTACTTCCAATCTAGTTTTTCATGCTTGAACAAAGCATATTGAGGTCGATTATCATTTTGTTTGAGACCAAGTAACTCGACAACAACTCACTATCCAGCATGGTGCTTCCTCAGATCTACTGGCAGATCTGTTCACTAAGGGTCTTCTTACTGATCGATTTACTCTTCTTGTTGCCAAACTGATGGTTTTTTCTCCCATTAGCTTGAGGGGGGATGATAACAGTACTGTTGATGATTCACCACATCACAGTGCACTTCATACAACAGATCTTCACTACTCAGCATCCAAGAGCTCGCCTAAGCTCACCTGCACATAGAACACATGTGATCAACTAAACAAAGTGACACCTCAACAGCTTGTAACTAACTGTAACAGATTTACACTACTTTCATGAACTATTAGTTAATTTATATATAGTTAATTTATATAAACAAGTCAAGTGGTGTAATTTGATTTTATTTTGTTATTCAATAAAATCATTTCCTTTGATATACTCTCAAATTCTATCAAACTCCACTATTTTTTGATAGTTATTCAGGTTAAAGACCACTTCTCGGTGCATCAAGTGGTGGCATTTCTTCTTTTTTGGGTTGTATGCACTTAAAGAAGCTCATTATTTGTCTTCAATCAATCGATGTTGCACTGCACTTTTTTATTTTGTCTCTTCATGCTTCTCTCTTGCTCTCCCC